CATGCCAGCGTATGGTCCACCGAATATAAGGGGCGCAGGGGGTACTCAGGGGTAGCGGGGCCAGGGCAGGCGCGGGATTTTTCCTTTTAGCGATCTTTGGTATCAAAATCAGGCTCTGTTTGCTATGGAATTAAAATCAGTGCGCATGCCGCGGTGTTGACGATCCATCATGGGATCCCCCTTCATAACCTCGACTCCTCCATCAACCCGTCACATACGACCATACCCGTTGGAGAACTCGGGATCCCGTCCGCTCTCCCCTAGATAACCTAGCGAGGGCCAGACTAGTAGTTGGGTCGGTGATGACCAGCGAATCCCTGGTGTTGTATGTTTTTTTGCCCTTTTTTGCTCGTCTGTGTGTGGAAGTAGTGATGGGCTCCGCCGTCCTGGCTCCACTTTTCCCCATCGCAACCGCGGGTCCTGTTGATGACGTTAAACGGGCACTCATGTCGGCAGACTACAGGAAATGCTTAATCATACGCCCACGGTGATAGAGCAGTGGTTCAAGTTTGAGCTGAAGGGTTGTCAATGTCGGCGTCAACTTGGCAGACCTGCGGCTGGTCAGGGGTCCTGCCGCTCTGGCAATCTCGAAGTCTTGGGGGGAGGGGGTGATGGTTCGAGTGGGAACGCAATAAAAATCCGAGAAATAAAAGCAGTTATGATTACGAGGCAAAGCGCTGTCTTGTGAGAGAGTAGAAGGTGTAGAAAACGAATCAACGCTTCGGTTGAACATTGAGAAGGGCTTGTGCCTGCAAGGTTGAGGCTTTCTTCAACGTTCAACCTGCAGCTCCCTGTGAGCCTTCCGCGGCGGTTGACATTTAGCGCTGCATGGCGCGGGTCTCGATTCGCCAATCAGGGCCCTGGATTTTTGTCGCACAGGGAGTCTCCACTTTGCAGGCGTCCCCTTCCCGCTGTGTGGCTAATCAGCCCTGTGTCAGCCCCAAATGAGCGCAAAGGATCGATGCGAGTTCTCGGCGGCCATCCCATCGCGCTCTAGCCCCTTGGGCAGAGGAAAAATAGTTCATCAACTGGAGGAGGCCTTTCCTCGACATCACCATCCCCCATCCATCAATCCGCCGACAACCGAAAACGCTGCATCGCGCATACGATGTTGCGCTTCTCCGTCCGGCTCTCGGTGCTCCTGTGGGGCGTCGCCCTCCTCACCACCCTCGGGTACAGCATCTCGCGCCTGCTCGTCTTCAAGCAGATCTTCCTCGAACATGCCGGCATTCCCATCAGCCAGCCCCAAGTCGCCGCGGCCTACCAAGGCGCCAACGAGACGCGCCCGCAGCTGATACCGAAGATCATCCATCAAGTTTTTCACAATTGGAAAGATCCCGGGAACGAGACGCTACCTTCCGATTGGGACCATGTCCGCAAGTCCTGTACCGATGCGAATCCCGACTGGGAGTACAAGGTACGTCAGAGCCCACGCTCCGGTACATCCCCGCGACCGACTTCTGACCCGCGTGTGCTGCACAGCTCTGGTCGGAGAAAAGCTCGCGCGACTTCATCGAGGCGCACTACCCGTGGTTTCTCCGAACCTACGACCGATATCGATTCCCCGTGCAACGAGTCGACGCCGTTAGATACTTCATTCTCATGCACTATGGCGGCATCTATCTAGACTTGGATAATGTAGGCCCCCTGTGCCCGAACAACTAGGGGCGCCGTGTGCTAACATTTGGGACTCTAGGGTTGCAAGACCGATCTGACGCCTCTGCTCTACTACCCAATGTGGATTACCGACCCCGGCCGTGGAGCGCTGAGCAACAACGTCCTGGCCTCGAGCCCCCACCATCCCTACTGGATCCGCCTCACGCAGTCGCTAATCCCTTATAACTACGACTGGTTCTTCCCCTACGTGACAATCAGCTACGCGAGCGGTCAGTGGTTCGTGACGGCCATCTGGCAGGAGTACCACTCTCTCCTGCCGCCTGTTGACCAAAACCCATCGATCGAGCATCGCCAGTACAGGTTGATGATGGACGACAGAGAGGGCGCCGATCCGTCCATCTACTTTACGCAGGAGCGTGGAGGCACATGGGTGAACTGGGATAACCGCATGTTTTTGTGGATTGGCGACCACCTCTTCCTGTTTCTCCTCCTTGTCGCCGGCGGTGTTGGATCTACAATATGGGGCTGCCTGAGACTTCGGAGGAGATATGCTGGCGCGAACAAACCGGCTTATACGCGGCTGAACTCGACGATTTAGGGGACCGAGCCAGCCAACCTATCAGACCTGGAAGAAATATCTTCCTTGGGATTGACAGACCACTCTGCCCAAAGCGGCATGGGAACTCGAGACGGGCGGCGCGACGGTGCGGACGTGGGGTAACACCTCCCTAATACCGACCAGGCGACAGGTCTGGCGTGTCGCAGGAGACGGGAACACCCAGCTGTTGTCAGAATCAGCGGCTGCCGAGACGGATGACGGTGTTGCCCGGTGAATGGCCTGGGTATCTTATACAAAGCCGATTTCTGGCTAGCAGTGGTTTACAAGATACGGGATCGGAGCCGTGTTGGAAGCAAAAGGGCGGCGCAGAGCAGTATCTGGGGATGGCTTTGTGCGTGTATAAGTGGCAGCGAGAATCTTGTGCGGCATGTTTATGACCTCTATGTTTTGGGCTATCACTGGAGCGGGCTTTATATGGCATGGAATGATGGATCGATATTGGAAGTATACCCAGCTATAGAAGGGGGACGGGGCGCAGGAGCCTGTAATAATACGAGGGGGTAACGCTATTTCCGGTCTCTAAGGGCTTTATCAGCTGCGACACGCGATTCAAAGGATGCGGGAGAGCAAGACAGGATCTCGGACTTGGCCAGTGGACGGAGCAGACCCGAAAGGTCGGAGCGGGGCCCGACCAGAGTCAATCCGGGCGCTTGAACGATAGCGCAGACGGCACAACAACAATACCACTCCGGGTCATCTCCAACGGCTCCCTTGTCGAATTTCGGAGCCGCTACTGACCGGAAGCACCGGAAAAGCTTGAAGGATGGAAATGTAATTGGGCTATCGGCGAGTGAGTCAAGCGGTTGGCCTGCATATTCCTTCCTACAAGTACGTGCAGATGCGTGTAAGTGGGGTTGCACAGCGGCCGTCGCCGGTACCTTACACGACAGCAACAGAACAACGACGCTCTCTATAACCTCAAGACAGAACTTTTCAACTCTAGCCATTTCCCACGGAAGAATATAGCAGAACTCGAAGTCGTCATGGCCTCCACAACTGCCCCCAATGGCTTGCATACGGCCATTCTCTCCCCGCTGGACCAATACATGCCGAGAATTTACGTTCGCATCTATCTTGTCTTCCACACTCCGGACCCGTTGGCCGCAGTTGAAAGCCTCAACGCCGGCGTCAAAGAGCTCGGATCCCGGCTTCCTTTTCTCCAGGGTTCTGTCAACGACAACCACCCCCATGGCCAGATAGCCATCTCCTGGTCCGCCTCCGATGCACCTCTGTCTCTCCACCCCATTTCCTGCTGCCCCGGCACCAACACCCCCTCTTTCAAGCAGCTCGAGGAAGAAGGCGCACTGCTTCACTACTTCGCTGACGCCTTTCCCGCTCTCATTCAAGCCCGCACGGCCGCCAACCCCCAGAACCCCGGCTCTCCCGCCTTCGCAGCTGGTTACACCATCCTCGACGCAGCGGTGGTCGTCGGCGTCGCAGTCCACCACAGCATAGCCGACGGTACGGGCGTCTCCGAGATCATCCGCTTTTGGGCGTCCTGCACGCGCCAATCCTCCCCCCCGGAAAACCAGACGCCCCGTTCAGACGAACCCCTTCTCAGGAGAGCCCTCCTCCGCTCCGGCCTCCCTCCCCCCTCGGAGAAACCCCTTACCGAGCGCCTTGCCTCGCTGCCGCAGGTCTACCTCCGCTCTTTAGACCCCTCGAGGAACCAAGCGGTCGACACCTCTGCTACCAAGGGGGGAATCCACCTATTCACTTTCTCCGTCTCCCGTCTGGAATCCGCGCGGGTGGCTCTACGCAGCGCCGAGGCGGAGCTTGACCCGGCGGCACTGAGCACGAATAATATCCTCACGGGAATTATCTGGGCATGTGTCTCCCGCGCGCGAGCCGCGAGACGAAAGGGTGTGGTGCTAGGGAACGGGATGTCTAAAATGGGGTTTGCTATCAACGGCCGGAGGCAGTTTACGGGGGATATTGCCGCGAGGCCGTACGTGGGGAATGTGAATCTTTATGGGCTGCCGGAGTTGCCGTGTGGGGTGTTGGAGGGGATTGGGGCGGTTTGTTTAGCTGGTACGGGACAGGTTGGGGGGCTACTACCGGTGTTGAAGGGGATTTATGAGGCTATCAAGCGGGTTACGGGGGGGCACATTGCGGAGTTTGCGGAGATGATGGAGGCGGTGGGTGATGTTAGGGATGTCACGCCGAACTGGGTGAGAGCGAATGGCCCGGATTTGTCGGTCACGAGCTGGGCGAATATGGGTGTTTATGAGAGTGATTTTGGGGAGGGGGTTGGGAAGCCGCTGTGGATGAGGGTGCCGGGGGACTTTGTGGGGGATGGGTTGGTGATTGTGTTGCCGAGGAAGAGGACGGGGGAAGACGTTCGGGGGATTGAGGTGTTGCTGTTGATGTGTGAGGAGGATTTGAGGTTCTTGGAGGGGGATGAGGTTTGGAGGAGTTGGTTGGTCTGAGTTGAGGCTTGGTGGGTTGTCGTTGGCGGCTGGTGGCATCAGGGGTCGGGTGGAGATGCCGTGTTGATTGTTGGTCAGCTGGTTCAGGGGTTGGGCGGAAGCCATATTCAGGGGTCAGTTGAAAACATTTCACACAGCCACTTGATCAATCGCAGACTCAGGTCGGCAAAAACAGAGACAACAATGAAAGGAGGTCTTTTCATGAAAACCTCTTTTTTCCAGCTCTTGTAGACGGATGCTGGGGTCGATATGACATCAGGGGGGAGCGCTCTCGAGTCAGTTCACGACCTAAGTGGGAATCTCTCCTTTCGCCAGCAAAATGAATCAAAAAGAGACGATCGAGATGGGACTCGAACCCACAGTCTTAGTCTAAATCCTTCTTATAGGAGGACCACACGATACCATTTCGCCACTCGACCGCTTGTTGTTTGTTTTGTCTGGAAATTCGTCTTTTGGGTGTTGTTGGACTGAAGCGACCCCAGCACCTCCACCTCCGCGCTCGCAACTGGTCCCAGCTGGCTGTAAAGTGGGTCCAGTGCTGGATGAGGCAATGTCTATTTTGAAAAAGAAAAGAAGGTTAATGGGGATTGCGGGGAAGGACGTCGGGACTCGGGATGGGAGTCGCGAGTAAATCAGCGTGGGCTTGCTGGCGCCGAGACAATCGTTCTTGTGTAGCGCCGGGTTTTCGCTCCCGTTTCCCTAGTCGCATCGGGGCAAAATGCTTGCGCCTGCACTAGGCCGATACTCCGTGTGAAGTTGAGATGGGGCTGGAAAACCAGGTGATGTTGTGACAAAGTCAAAGTCAATAGTCAAAGTTGGCAGGCGCGGCTGATGCGTAGTTGCCCATTTTCAGTTCAGTGTGCGGCATGATTCTTGGCAGTTTCTGGTTGCCGTCCTTTCATCAACCATAATCCAATGGGCATCGGCAGGTGTCAAGCCTACACTGCACACTGCCATCCCGCCCTCGTCTCTGCATTCCGGTATTGGGATTACTCTAGAAGTCAGCTAACGGGAGTCGATATTGCAGGAACCTTGGCCATGGGACGCGCGTAAATGAAAGGGCAGGGCCGCTGGCGTCGGTCCCGGGCTTGACGAATTCGCTAACGGCCGTGATAACGACTTCGAGGACATCGCTTCGTCATGCGCGTTGCTAGCGATATTTGGTGGCGATGGGACCGAGGGCGCATCATGGTGCAGGTGGATCGGCGTCGTCGCGCCGTTGCATTCCCCCACAAAAACGTTCGCGGGGATCCCGGGGTGCTTTGGGCGGCACTGCAACCCAGCCGGCGCACCATTCCCAACCTGGCACGGAAGAGCCTCCGCATCGCCCAAATTCAGGACGACGATGGACCTCGACGACGGTTCCTGGATGGATTTCCGGGCAAACACCATCGCGCTCGTGGCTCCAGTTGGGCGCTCCCGCCCAATCGCGTCCCTCCTCACACCCCCTGGACCCCCCCTGGGCTGCTGAGTTTGCGGCTCTCAAGATTATCCCGGGGTCGAACACCAAGGCATCAAGACGGGAACTCTCCCGAATTTCCCTTCTAGCTCCCACTGGCCTCCATCATGGCACGGGGCAGATGCTACCGTTGCCTCCCTTCGTCCTGGCGCTGGCGCGAAGAAGCCTCCATCACGCCGCTCTCCCTCGCAGCGGGATTCGACACTGCAACGCACGACTCCATGGCCATCCATGATGTTCTCGAGCACTCGAGGAGTACGCCATGAGGTGCCATCCAGAACACCCCCGGCCCACTTCTCCGCCCTCCGTCGCATCGAGGTTGCCCTGTCATCACCGGCTGCCTCAGCCAAGGGTAGACAACCAACTCTCAGACACTGCCGTCGTACAAGCTGAGAGCGGTTCTGTGTTATATAAAGACTTTCCTCGTTCCAGGACTCATGGACATATCCCTTCTCTTCAGCAGCAGCAGCAGCAGCATCAGCCTTCACTTCTCACAGCAGTCGCCTCTTGTCAAGTGACCATCACAACAGCCGTCAACATGTCTCCCAAGACCTCTACTCTGCTTGCCTCCCTCGCGGGCGCTGCCGCCGTCGCCGCCCACGGTCACGTCAGCCACATTGTTGTGAACGGTGTGTACTATCGCAACTACGACCCGACCACCGATTACTACAACCCCAGCCAAGCCCCCAAGGTCCTCGGATGGTCCGCTCTGAACCAGGACAACGGCTTCGTCGAGCCCAACAACTTTGGCACCTCCGATGTCATCTGCCACAGGGGCGCTGCCCCCGGTGCTGGCCACGCCACTGTTGCCGCTGGAGACAAGATCAACTTGGTTTGGTGAGTTTCAATCGATCGGCTCCTGATACCAGAAGAGGTTCCCAAAATAAGGGGCGAACAACAGCTAACACTGCCCACAGGACCCCCGAATGGCCCTCCAGCCACGTCGGCCCTGTCATTGACTACCTTGCCGAGTGCAACGGCGACTGCGAGACTGTCGACAAGACTTCTCTCCGCTTTTTCAAGATTGGTGGTGCCGGCTACTCTGACGGCCAGTGGGCCTCCGAGGTTCTGACCAACAACGGAAACTCGTGGCTTGTCCAGATCCCCAGCAACCTCAAGCCGGGCAACTACGTCCTCCGCCACGAGATCATCGCCCTCCACGGCGGCCCGAACCCCAACGGCGCCCAGTCCTACCCCCAGTGCCTGAACATCCGCGTCACTGGATCGGGCTCCTTCTCGCCCGCCGGCGTCCCTGGTACCTCGCTCTACACCGCCACCGACCCTGGCATCCTCTTCAACACCTACGCCAGCCCCGTCGTCTACCCCGTTCCCGGCCCTGCTCTCATCGCCGGTGCCCCCGCGTCGGTCGCCCAGAGCAAGTCCGCCGTCACCTCCACCGGCACTGCCACTCTCCCCGGTGGCGCTGCCCCGACCACTGCCCCGACCACCACCAGCACCACCTCCACTGCTGTTCCCACCACCCTCGTCTCCAGCACCCGCACCAGCGCCACCACCTCTAGCACCAGCACCGCTGCTCCCACTCCCACCGGTGGTGCTACCCAGACCAAGTACGGACAGTGCGGCGGCATCGGCTGGACTGGCCCTACCGTCTGCGAGTCTGGCACCACCTGCAACAAGGTCAACGACTGGTACTCCCAGTGCCTCTAAGGGACTTTGAGTCCTAGGGTGACGACGGAGTGGAGAAGGGAATGCACGCATTCGATTCGCCTACTCGATTCATTTTGAAGATTGTCAAGAGGTCGTTCCGGATACCTTGACATGATCTGACAAGGAGGAAAGGGGAAGGGAACCCCTGGCAAGAAAATCCCGCTTCGACTGTATATATTTTTGTGTTCAGAAATGAAACGTATATGATGATGACAACCTTTTTGCTTGCTTGGTGACTGTTTCGTGAATGATGGCATATATCTGCTGATTTGCATGTGGTTGCACTGCTTCTTCATTGGAATACTGACGCGGACAATCGGTCCCCGAAGATTGGAAGCAACGTTGAGAAAACCGGTAAAACGATAGCACATCAATCCCTCACATCCAGTTAACATTTCTCTATATACCATCTATCAGCTGCTCGAGCACAATCGACCCTTTCACACACAGGGCCATCACATCGCAACGTCGCATCGCAACATCGCTAACAGAGCTAGGGGATATCATACCAGTTCATGAGCGGGGAATCTTTGTCCAGTCAGCACTGCCGCCCACCTTGCCTGCCTTGCCAGGAACGCCAGAGAAACAAAGTACAAAAAAAGGCTGGTTTCAAGTGAGATACCAGAAAATTATACAAGCGAAAGAACCCTACGCTCTCTCTAGAACTCGCCGTCGCCTCCGCCGCCGAGGACTCCAGCTGACCAGAGGCCGACCAAACCCCACCAGCTCACTTTCCATCCGCGCCAGAGCCCGTCTAGCCCTTGGCCTCGCTTGTAGACGATTTCGGAAACGGTGGCTTTGCCTTTCCTCCCGGCAGCAGCCGCCCTGGTATTCGTTGAGGCGCCGGTTGAGACGGCATGCGAACCCTCCTCGTTGACGATGCTGTACATGGTGGCGAACACGCCGTGATAGGGTCCCACTGGGACGATGGTCTCTAGTTGATCACCACCGACCCTTCTCCCTTTCATTGACTGTGGCGTCTCAAGCGCGTGAAGGTATTGTGGTGAGCTCAGGACGGCGACCTGGCCGCGCCGGAGGACAGTTTCGAGCGGAAGTTTGATGAAGAGGGCGACGGTGGAGGAGCAGAATTTGGTGAGGGAGAACGTCACTGGCGCCACATCACGGTCGATCATGAACTGGCTGCGGAGGACGAGAGGGGTGGAGAGTGTGAGGAATGGGTGAACGAGGGAATGGAGGACGGTCGGGATGAAGAGGCTTGAGGGGCAAAGATATGAGGGGAGGTTGCGGAGAAGGGAGAGGGTCCGTCGTGTGCCGCGGGCGGTTGAGGTCACGATCAGTCTGATATGGATGTTAGGCATCGTAAGAGCACATCAGGAAGGCAGAGAACTTACCGCGTGCGGACGAGATCCAGGGGGGCAAGGATAAGCCCGGTTGTGACAGCGGCAGCGGCGGCGACGAAAAGCGAAGCCCAGGGATATGGGGACGCAATATCGATCAAGCGGTCCATGTCGTGTTTCACGCCAAGGTCAGGCACGTTGAAGAGTGCGCTGAGCAGACTTCGTGACCAATTCTCGAGGAGCGACTGCAGAACCGAATAGATGAAGGTCGCATTGGCGCCCTTCCAGACGCCCCAGGCGCCTTCTACTTGCCATAACTGGCCGATGACGTCGAAGATGGAGTCTGGTCTTTTGAGAGCGAGCTGGTGAGCCGGCACCGGCGCTGGTTTTACTGGGACTCGCGGAGACTGGGGAGGACTGGGGCGCCGTTGCTTCTGGGAGCGGGAGTATGATGGCGTTGGCGTGCTGGGGTGGTTTGAGGTGAAGTATGACATCTCGTCTGGGTCCGAGTCTGAATCGAAGTCCTGGGAGTTGTCAGGTCGGGATATCCCGGCAAGGGGCTTGTCAGGTAGCTATCGCGCGTACCTGGCCATAAACAGGTGTCCTTTGGCTTGATTGCCTCTGCTTTGCATCTTCGGCTGCTGCCACTGCGGCGGCCAGACCGCCCAGGTCATCCTGGGTCCTGACTTGCATGATGGTCTTGGCAACCTCGAATGGCTGCGCCATCAGCGCCGATGTGTACTTCCATAGCAGCTCATCCACAAATTCTTTGACCGTTTGCACGGCCGAGGGCGATGGGTCCGCGATGTAATTCTTGTAGTCGATATCGGAGAAGATGTCGCGCGCCTTGGACGCGTAGTTGCCGGTGGCATTGTGGTTGGAAAAAGCACGTGGGCCGGGCGTTGGAGGTATTTCGGGCGGTTCGCCGATCGAGGGCGGGATGTAGTAGGGTCGGAGGGGATTTACCCCTTCATTGTGGTTTGCCATGGTTGCC